GGTTCAAAGGAGGGGAGAGAGAAATTGAAGAAATTGCCTACTACAAAGATTAAGGAAATCTGTGCAAAGTGGCTTGAAGTGCAAACCTTCATGGATGAAAATCACCCTCACACAGCTATTGCAAGCCGTGCTGGTGACTATTACACTGACAATGTTGTGAAACACTTTAGGGAAGTCATAAAGGAACGAGAGGTACAGGCCACTATGGACAGATATGTTGTGCGACAGAACTCCAGTGACTCTGAAGCTGGTCCTAGTGGCATTAAAAGAAGAAGGGAAGTAACCCCAGAAAAGGACTTGACACCTCAAGTCTTAATGGAAGGGGATTCCCCTTCTAAACACTAACACTCTCTCCTCCTCCCATCCCATCAATCACCACCAGATCTTCAATAAAAGTAAGTGTCATGTAATTGTGCATGCCTTTTTCAGTTTGTGTGTATTAAAATTAATATTTCATGTGGTAAAAATTTTCTTTTTTCATACTTTGGGGTGTCTTGCACGGATTAATTTGATTTCCATTATTTCTTATGGGGAAAATTCATTCGCATAATGATAATTTCGCATAACAATGAGCTCTCTTGCACGGATTAATATCGCTATGCGGGGGTCCACTGTATATCATCAACGTATCTTAGCCAGGTGATGGTGTTGGGAATGAGGGTGCTGAATTTCTCTGTCTCCAGGCTTTCCATGAAGAGCTTGGCAAGCACAGCACTGAGCGGGCTGCCCATTGCCATCCCAATGCACTGTTTGTAACAGTTGTCCTGATACTTGAAGAAGTTGAAATTAACACAAAGCTCCACTAGATTGATGAAATCTAGAAGAGGTAAAGGGAGGTCGTGGTTTTCGGTGAGCCTCTGTCTCAGAATGTTGATTGCAGCGTCAGTAGGAACGTTGGTAAAGAGGGCTGTGACATCGAAGGAAGCCATGCTTTTGTTTTTGACATTCAGGTTGGAAATTCGGGAGAGAAGGTCACCTGAGTGTTTGAGGTGGGCTTGACTGATGGTGCCCAGAAGCGCTGAAAGGTATTTGGCAAGGTGGCCGGCTAGTCTGTGTGGTGCACTCCCTATGCCCGAAGTGATAGGCCGTAGTGGGATGCCAGGTTTGTGTGTCTTAGGAAGGCCATACCAAGACACCCGCACTAAGAGAGGAGTCCTCATTGGCTTCTTCTTGAGAGCTCTTCGCATCTCCAGCCCTTGTTTTCAGGAAGAAGAATGCACTTACATAACACAAGCCTTTACACGTCTTCAGTTCCCATCTTTCTTCATCCAAGATTGCAGACTCAAGGCACAAGCTATCCTCAACAAATTGCCCATGGAACAGCCCCCTAAGCAGTTCATAGTACTCCCATGTGGCGATGTTGCCACGAATACTCGCCGGGCACTTGCTATGAGTAACATCAACGTTTCCACCATAAACACATCATCTATCAAAGACCTCACTACGAAACGCAGCCCCACACCTCTAACTTCTACAGCAGGCATCTACACTATCCCCTGTGGGTTCTGTCCCAAGAAATACGTAGGCGAGACAGGCAGAGATCTTGCAGTCCGCCTGAATGAGCATCGAAATGCCTCTAACAGACACGATGTAAGGTACGCCTGTGTCCTCCACAGAGACTCCACTGGGCATTTGATGAATTGGAATGAGGCACAACTCTTTCTCACCGAACCAGACCTCAGATGCCGACAGTGCCTAGAAGCCTCACTAATCGCTGTCACCGACACTATAGAACGCAACACTGGAAACTACAAAATTTCAAAAACATTGGCATACATGATACTTAAGCAGCACCAACCCAACAACACAGGAGTCACATGATTTCATCGTCTACCCGTCCTCATCATAGGTAGAGGTTGTTTTGATAAGGATCTGCCTCACATGGGCCAGTAGGCCTTCTACAGTGTTCCTCCATTCTTATGTTCTTATGTTCTTATGACTTTCTCAGGTCACGTGTGTCACACCTCACTCTCCGCCTATATATATAATGTCTTTCTACCTCTGTATGTTAGAAGTGATCATGGTCCCAGGACCGAAACATTTTCTAATAAATATGTCATAGTGTTTGCTTACGTGTCTTTCTAAACCAACTTGTCGGTATTTATTACCAAGGTTTATACCACAGGTACATATAAATACAGTTACACAGATTATCACACAGTACATAGTAGCATATATGTAGATTACCTAGAATAACCCAAAAAAGTCAAAGTGACTTTATTTCCATTGGGGTCCTTGTATTTCCATTGGGGGTCCTTGTTAAGCATGACAGAATTATTTCCTTCAGACAAAGATGAAAAGTCTCAGAGTTGAATAGGCCATAATTCGTGAGAAAAGCAGTTTGCTGTTGTCACAGAATGGAAAAAATATAATTGTAAACCCCATAAACATAGCCAAAATATTTATGTATTTTCATTGTTGATATGTTCAATTTGGCACCAGCTACTTCAAAAGCTACAGTGGAAGCTGTTACTATAGAAATTACTGAAATTAATTTAGATAACATGTACTTCATTGAAACTAATACCAGAAAAACATGTCAGCTACTAAATTATATATGAATTTTCATTATACATTAGGCATGTTTCCTTACACTTCTCCCTATTCGCCTAGCAGCAAGTAGGTACCTGGATGTTAGTCGACTGTTGCGGATAACATCCTAAGGGACAAGATTAATGATAACATTTGTTCAGATTTTTAACCTGGAGGGATAGCTACCCAGGGTAAACAAGAAAGTCAGTGTGTCATTGAGGACTCTTGTTTTATTTCCATTGGGATCCTTTAATCTTGTCCCCAGGATGCGACCTACACCAGTTGGCTAACACGCAAGTACCTACTTAAAAGATGCTATTTATTTATTTATTTATTTATTTTATGTCTTTGCAAACAGTACATTGAGATTTTGTATTTACAATAGTGGGTTGCAATACAAAGAGAGCCTCTATTATGCCTAGGCATTATGGGCCAACTTAACATTATTGGCTTACAGTCTACTTAACGCTAAGGAGTATATCATAGTTGTACAGTAGGATAGTAATTATTTCATAGTTGTACAGTAGATTATTAATTATAAGTGAATCAAAATTTGTATAAGACAAAAGATATATTCATATAATCAAAAATGCTTTTTGTGAAAACAATGATTGAACAAGGACAGCAGGTGTAAGGAAACATACCCACTGCTTCCACTCATGCCAGGGATTGAACCATGGACACTCAGTGTGTGAGGCGAGTGCACTGGCAGCTGAGCCATGGGATCCCTAGGACCTCAATGGAAATAAGACAGTCACTGATGGCATAAGTAAGCTTATTTATACGCATAAATAATTACATAAATTACCACACATATCAGCAAATGTGTAGATTACCTAGGATAACCCAAAAAACGTCAAACTAACTTATATCCTTTTCCATTATTTGATTATCTTAGGTGGCTAACCCTCTGGATTAAAAATCCAAACAAACCTTATTTTCCTTAGGGGTCCTTTTAAGCCCTCCCTAATTATTATTACAATAAAAACTAAGCGCTAAATCACAAGGGTCATACAGCACTGCCAGTCATCCCTAAGAAGCAAGTCACAGCAGTTGTCTAACTTCTAGGTATGTATCTGCTGCTATGTAATGAGAAGCAGGTACCAGACTTGCACTTAACGTTCCTACTTTCCTAGGGTTATACCCGGGTATATAAATGGTTTAGAAAACCAACAAGGTGAAGAACAAGACACTTGTGCAACATTTGGGTATCTTTAAATATACCCAAATGTTACATAGCTAATATAATCATAACTAAGCTCTAAACCCACAAGAGGAATGTTGCACAAGTGTCTCATTCAACATCCAGGTAACTTTGTTGCAAGAAGACCGCTTACCCTGCAATGTTCTTCTTAATATTATTATTACTGGAAACTCGCGTCAGTCTTCATATACTCCTATTTACAGATTTTTTCTTTATATTTTACGTGTAGCGTACTTATAAGTTTCTTTTGATGACTGCACGAGTTGCAGTCAATTAGGCAAGTCCTTCTTCAGTCATCTAGAGGTAAACCATGAATATTCCTCATAATACACCTAAATATTTAACCAAATGACTGTATTATTATTATAATCAAAAAGAAGCGCTAAGCCACAAGGGCTATACAGCGACCAAATGACTGTAGAAACCTAAAATTTTTACAATAATCAGCCATGTGACTGACCTTGTTGTTGTTGTTGGTGCTATAATGGCCACTGATAATGTACGCATTAGAGAACCCTGGTTCCCAGTGTATCATAATAATAATAATATAATAATAATAATAATAATAATAATAATAATAATAATAATAATAATAATAATAATAATAATAATAATAATAATAATAATAATAATAATAATAAATCTGTATTTCTACCCGTGGCCCCGTGGCTAAACGGCGAGGGTCTGGGTTCGATTCCAGCCAGGGTAGAAACACTGGGCGTGTTTCTTTACAACGGTCGTCTATGTTCACCTATGGTATTTGTGCCTGGGGATCGACCACGGCCAACTACCTTCAACCTTTAATAACCCAACATAAAGCTTCTGTATGGATGATCACCAACTCCTGTGCCAGACAGCACACCCCACCACTTTTCAAAAGTTTGAACCTACTAAATATACGAGACATCACTCATATTATTGTGCCTACTATACGTACAGAACATTAAACTCAAATATAACCCCTACGCTTAAACTTCTTGATAGCTACAACAGAATGCACAGTCACAATACAAGGTACAAAGCACTCTTCGACATCCCTCGTGTCAGTCTCCCACTATGCAAAAATGCACATAAAGTACCCGAAGACCTGGCATTCACTACATGCACCGGTAACACATCCCCTGACTACATACAAGTTTAGGCCTATGATTAGAAATCATCTCATCTCTCAATACTAAACAACACAATTAGTAAAAAGTAACTCTCCCAAACATTATGTGACCTCTAGGCTATTAAAACATCTGCTAATCCATTAAATAGTACTGTTCGAACCATTATTTGTAATATTATTTGTTATGTGCAACTTCAAGATTATTATTCTTACAAACCTCCAACTTTGACTACCTCGCATTAGCATTAAGTTAAAAATAAAGATTTATTAAAAAGATAACCACTCTTATCTTGTCTAGACTTAAGAAGTTTTTAAGTATTAGGATTAGTCTTCCCGAAATGCCCCGGCCTGATAGTGGCTTTTTTTGTACTTAGCATATCAAAATTGTAATTACATATTGTAACCTTTGCAAAGAAATAAAAATCTTCATCTATATCTTTTTATCCTTACCACACACAGCAAGAGGCATCCCAGAGCTACCCCAGCTCTCGGGCTGCGGCCCAAAGCTGGGGTGTGGCTCGAAAAGGATCCTGTAGTGCTTTATTGCCTATGCACTTCCTGCCACACCCTTCGAGCCATGGGGGAGTGGGGTTCGTGGTAGCTCAAGGTCCCTAGCTTCTCCCTACGAGCCCCGTGAGGGCGTGGACTGCGGCTAGGCCCAGGGGCAACTGGTCCCAGAAAATGGGGGGTACTTATACCTCCTCCCATGGAAGATATACGTCTGAGATACTCGCCATCTGGCAGAGACCCGGGCCGGCAGTACCGGCAAATCAAGAAGTGCTTTAAGTGGTGTTGAGATTGTTATGGTTAGTTGTTAGTTAGTTTAATATGTTTATTATGCACCCCATACCCATCCTGTGGGCGGTAGTCAAAAGATTACAGAGGTACATAATTGGTCCAGGGACTGGACTCCAAAGTTTTGATAGCTGAGCAAGTTACAATGGTAATGAACTAGATCTGGTCATAATCATGACCAAGTTACAAAGGTAATGAGCTCCAGGTAGAGCTGGTCACACTCATGAATAATTGCAAAGGTTATGGGCCACTAAAGTTTAGGCTTTATTGAAACCTGCTTCACGGGAGTCCGGGGAAAATATATTCCCTAGTTCTATGATTTACAGTAAGTTTATTTAGGTTCAGGTGCACAGTATGATTAAAATACATAGTGTAAATTACCTAGGAAAACCCAAAAAAGTCAGAGTGACTTTTTTTTTCATTGGGGTCTTTGTATTTTCCGGCGATATTGCTAGGGGCATCTGGCATAGATTTACGTATGGCAGTGATTGATATTTTAAACAATGCATGACTTAATACATAGCCTTGAGTAGTATCAAGCTGCATTTCTCTGAAGAATGAGACACTTTTGTATTGTTTGATACTTTTATTAAGAATGGTGGACTGAACACATAGTCTCTAGGCTGAAAGACTAAGTAACTCAAACTACTACTCGTTTTTTCACCGTTCTTCCCTGTATTGGACTGATGAAGCCACTGACTGGCGAAACATTTCCATAGTGAAGATACCCAGATGTTGCACAATTGTATAATTCTTCAGCTTGTTAGTTTTCTAAACCATACCCCAGGATGCGACCCACAACAGTCGACTAACACCCAAGTGCCCACTTACTGCTAAGTGAAATAGGGGGTAGCAGGTGTTAGGAAACATACCCAGTGTTAGTAAGTAAATTAATCCAGGTATGCACAAATAGAGTTACATAGATTATCATACATAGCAACATATGTGTAGAGAATGTAGGATTACCCAAAAAATTTAGACAGACTTATTTCCATTTGGGTTCATTCTCCTCCCGTCTGGATACCAGTTTCACCAGCAGTACACAAAACACTAAAACCAGTGATTTGTGTATGGCTCTAACTTCACACACACTGACTGTCCATGGTTCGATTCCTGGCATAGGTGGATACATTGGGGGTGTTTTCTTACATTTGCTGTCACGTTCACCTAGCAAGCAAGTAGGTACCTGGGTATTAGCCGACTGGTGTGAGTCGCATCCTGGGGGGACAAGATTGAGGACCCCAATGGAAATAAGACATAGTCCCTCGATGACGCACTGACTTTCTTGGGTTATCCTGCGTGGCTAATCCTACGGGGTTAAAAATCCCAACAAAATCTTATCTCTGCGACTCTTGACGTCAGAGCGTGATCCATGTTTCCGCGCACTCTCAAAAAAAATCGAAAAATTATGGAAATTGTGTTATTTATACCGAAAAATAGCTTAACTCTTTGGCAAACACAATGGTACCAGAATGAATGTTCTACGACGTTTCTACAAGAAATTATAGTCATTTATATCAGGTAAGGTGACGGTGATGTAGGTAGCGAGTCTGCTCACAGCCCATATATTTTTTGGAATTTTTTCCTTGTTTTTTTATCTCTTTTTCTTGCATTATTCTTTCTAATATAATAACTGACTATTTGGCATCATAAAACAGTAGGCGGAGCTTATCCGTAGACTAAGAGACAACCAGGCACCATATGGGAACGCTTGGCAGTGTTCCCGCTCCAGAGAGTGCCAGGAGAAATCACTTCATTATTACGCTTATATCAGCTTATATATCAACTCTACTGCTTATTTATCTATCACAATTGATCTAATATGATATAATAAACACTATAACTAACATACAAACATGTTATATACTCTAGACTGAATAAAATAAGCCATAATATGGCCATAGACCATCGGGAATATTTCGATATAAATGAGTGAATCCTCTCATGTCGTATTCTTTGGTCTCTTAGTAAGAGAAAACGGTATTTTAAAGAGGATAACTGCACTAGAACATCAGTTTACTAAGAAATACACCCAAACAAACGCGATTTTCGCGAAAAAAAAAAAAAAAATCGAGACGGCGGTCCGGCCGGCGTTCCAGGCCAATATCTCGGAAGTAACTTATTCACTTATGGTACATCGTTCTGCCTTTATTACTTAATTAAATGGAATAATATTCACAGAAATTGTAGAATAATGATTTCTCTAATTAAGATCGCTGAGTTTTTGGAAATATTCCAAATACTTTGGGAGTTATGTGGGAGTAAAGGGCAGATTTTTTGCAACATTCCAAGAACTAACAAACTTTATTTTTTTGTGAAATAAAGATAAGTTATTTTAGAGGACAGGTAGCTTATATAATACGTATAAGCATTGTTCTCCCGGCACCAAGTGTCCAAACAACCTTATGTCGTCCCATATAGGAATAAATCGCCCCCTAAGGGCATTTTCAGTAAATCAGTCTTTTTCAGTGTTTTCTCAGTTGTTGTTTGAGGTATATTTTTGATAAATATTTTTAACAAAGAGTGAAAACACTTTGTCTTGTGCACCAAAACTGGAGGAAATCGGACGGTAAACAAAGGAGCTACAATTTTTTAACCGATGGCCCTTAAAGTTGCTGTAGCTATTGAACCCACAGCGGGATTCAAATTCAAATTCAAATTTAAAGTTTATTCTCTATAAGGATTACAGTGCTGAGTTTACAGAATTTGGTTATTGTGTGGTTTATATATAGTAAAATAATAATTACAGAGTGTACCACTAGAACACCTAGCATGGCTAGGCATTTCGGGCAGACTTAGATTAGATCTTAAATTTAAAATATTACAAATTATGAGGTAAGTTGGTATTATGGCTAAGTGACTAAATACTAGTTTGTAAGTTTAGCAATGTGAATGCTTTTGTTTTGGCACAATACATAGTTTCAGTATTGGAGTATCACAGGCCAACTTATGACTAGTTAGGATTCATCCCTGCTGATCCGGCACCGACTTTAAGTATCTGTCCAGCTCCTTCTTGAAGGCAGCCAGGGGTCTATTGGTAACTCCCCTTATACATTTTGGGAGGCTGTTGAACAGTTTTGGACCCCGGACACTTAATGTGTTTTCTCTTAGTGTATCAAGAGCGCCGCTACTTTTCATTGGGAGTATTTTGCACCGCCTGCCCAGTCTTTTACTTTAGTAGGGAGTGATTTCTGTGTGCAGATTCGGGACCACTTCTAGGATTTTCCAAATGTAGATTATCAGACGATGCAACATCCCCCCAATGAAAAGCAGGGGTGTCACTAGCACGTTAAGAGACAATACAATAAGTGTCAGGGGCCCAAGCATACATAATAGACCTCTGGCTGTCTTCAAACAGGCACTGGGCAAGCACCTAAAGTCGGCACCTGACCAGCCGGGCTGTGGTTCGTACGATGGATTGCGTGCAGCCAGCAGTAACAGCCTGGTTGATCAGGCCCTGATCCACCATGAGGCCTGGTCACAGACCGGGCCGCGGGGCGTTGACCCCTGGAACTCTCTCCAGGTATGACATATCTC